CAGGTTTTCCTCTAAGCCCGGTACAGGATCTTGAGCAGGAGGGTGTGTTCCTCATCTGGAAAACAAAGACGGAATTCTTTCTTCCTTGCATAACAGTTGTTTATTCGCTCGCAAAGGTATGCAGATTTCATCAATGTATTCATCCACGGCGTATTTTCTTTATCCCTTTCTGCAGACAAAAACTGTCCCAAAGCAGATCACGCAAGTGAAAACGGCATGCGAAATGCCCTGGTTGGACCCTGGACATAGATTAAAATTAGAGAGAGATATAAACCTGGCCTAACACGTAGGCATGGCAACACCAGGTTGGGAAATTCCTGGATATTTGTGAGTGGGCTCTGAGGAGGGCAGGGTTTGGGGAGGGGGAATGCCATAGATTTCACCCTATTTCAGGCACCCGTTTCTTCCGGGGAAATAATTGCTGTAATCTGGAGATCACTTGTAATCCAGGGGTCATTTCGTAGAAAAAGAGGTGCAGGATCTCATTAGCATAACTCATTTGCATATGCCACACCCCCTGACATCACCGGAAGTGTGTCGGAAGGCAACACCCACAGCTCAGGCTCCACTGGACTGTTTTGGATTGCTAGGTATTGGGGGGGGGGAATGTGCAGATCTGCCCTCGCAGAGGAGGGAGAGCTTGTACCTGACTAAAACTTGGTCTTAAAGGTGCCACTGGACTGTTTTGGACGGGGGGGGGCTCTGCAGCTTACCTGGCTGCTTCTTGCTCAGACTGAGGGCTGCTGGGAGCAGGGGGTGGGGCTGGTTGCATGTGCCCACCCCCCGGGCTCTTTACTGCCGGAGCTCCGCTCCTGTGCGCTCCTGCAGGAAATGACCCCTGATCCTGGGAGATCGTCAGACTCCACCTGTACATTGGCAACTCTGCTTGAACACACAGAAAGCCAGTTTGGTGTAGTGGTTAGGAACGCGGTCTCTAATCTGGGAGAACCGGGTTTGACTCCCCACTCCTCCACATGCACCTCCTGGTGTGACCTTGGGTCAGTCACAAGTTCTCTCAGGGCTGTTCTCTCGTGAGCAGTCCTCAAAAGAGCTCTCACAGCCCCACCTACCTCAAAGGGTGTCTGTTGGGGGGAGGGGAAGAGAAGGAGATTGTAAGCCGCTCTGAGACTCCTTTCGGTAATGAAGGGCGGGGTTTAAATCCAATCTCTTCTCTTCTTCACATGAAACTGTCTTATACTGAATCAAAACCTTGGTCCATCAAGGTCAGTGTTATATATCCTGCCTTGGTGTCAAAGAGCAACTTACAATCTCCTTTCCCTTCCCCTACCGACAACAGACACCCTGTGAGGTAGGCGGGGCTGAGAGAACTCTCTCTCGAGGACTGCTCTTGAGAGAACAGCTCTGAGAGAACTTGTGACTGACTCAGGGTCACGCCAGCAGCTGCACATGGAGGAGTGGGGAATCAAACCCGGTTGTCCCAAATTAGAGTCCGCGCTCTTAACCACTACACCAAACTGGATCCCATTTGTCACTGGCCTTGGCCTCCGTGGTAGACATTTTATAGCAGTGCGCACTCCCCTTTGATACATTTCCAAAGTGTCTATGAACACTTCGAGAACTGGGACCCCAATTTAGATTTCTGGAGTCAGTTCTTCTTTCCAGGCCATTCGAACCCTCAGCATTAAAATATCTTTTGGGGCTCCCTGCCCCACATACAATTTCACCTCCCTCCCCTCCCCAAATTTCGGTCACAGAAGTGAACGATAAAATTCGAGAACCACAGCACCTTCGAAATGGATATATTTTTCCAGGGTAGAAGTTTTTGTGAGTCAAAGCTCACTTTTGTCAGATACCACCGACAACCAACACATTTTTCCAGGGTAATAAACTTCCGTGACTGAGTCAGGTATCTGATGAAGTGAGTGCTGACTCATGAAAACTTGCACGGGGGTGGGGTGGATGGGTCGTTAATGGTACCTCGCTTTGACTCAGAAAAATTTCTACCATGGAAAATTTGTTGGTTCTGAAGCTGCTAGTGGTTAAGTGCGCGGACTCTTAAGGAGAACTGGGTTTGATTCCCCATTCCTCCACTTGCACCTGCTGGATGACCTTGGGCAAGTCATAGTTCTGTCAGAGCTGTTCTTGAAAAAGAGCAGTGTCTCTCAGAGCTCTCTCAGCCCCACCTACCTCACAGGGTGTCTGTTGTGGGGAGGGGAAAGGAGCTTGTATGCTCCTGCAGAGTGCAGGGGGTTGGACTAGATGACCTGCGAGGTCCCTTCCAACTCTAACATTCTATGATTCTATGCCGCTCTGAGACTCCCTTGGGTAGTGAAGGGTGGGGTATAAATCCAATCTGCTCTTCTTCTTTTTGTGGACTCGATTTGTGTTCTACTGCTACAGACGAAGACCTACTCATCTGAAATGAGGACCAGTGACTAATCTAACAGTCAATTTAAATCCAGGTGGACAGCCGTGTTAGTCTGAAGCAGTAATACAAAATGAGTCCAGTGGCACCTTTAAGACCAACAATGGTTTATTCAAGGTATGAGCACGCTTTTTCAAATACATTGGAATGGTGTGTAAGGTTCAAACTTATAGACAGGGAAATTAAGACGTTACATGATGATGTTTAAGGTAAGCAAAGTCCAAAATAACAAGCTAAGGTTATAAGGTCAACAGCTATAAAGCAATAAATATGTCTGAATAGCAGATAAATGTCCAAAGGTGTCTTTTCTAATTGTGGGAAGCAAACCGAGAATCTCCATTCTGTCCTCCCAAGGTGTGAAGATGACTCAACAGCCCTCTTTGAGGTGGATGCAGGGTCATGTCAGCAAAACATCCAATATTCTTGGCATTACATTCAGTATTCCAATATACTATTCTGAAAAAGAAAAACACTAAAATACAGAGGATTTATAGTCCTTGTTGAGAATACATATGTGAGGACTGAATGAGTTAGTATATGTAATGAGATAAGAGACCGATATCCCTGTTGAGTCCTGGGGTTTTTTTTTGTTCCAAGTGTTGTAATAGCTTGTAATTCAGTCAATTTAAATGCGAATATCAGGATTACATTGATCTAGAAGTCTCTGGCTTTTCGCTTCTTTTCCCCACTGCCCCAGCTTTTAGATCCATCCACCCACCCACCTACTTGAGGAACTGGTTGCCCACTGTGTGAGAAAGAAGGCGTGACTGGATGGACCACTGGGTCTGATCCAGCAGGGCTCTTCAGATGTTCTTATCTGTGATTATCTCTCCCTCTCTTCGGTTGGTGTAGTGATTAATTGCGTGGACTCTAGTCTGGGAGAACCGGGTTTGATTCCCAACTCCTCCACTTGCACCTGGCTGGATGACCTTGGGCAAGCCATAGTTCTGTCAGAGCTGTTTTCTCTCTCAGCCCCACCTACCTCTCAGGGTGTCTGTTGTGGGGAGGGGAGGGGAAGGGAAAGGAGTTTGTAAGCCGCTCTGAGACTCCAAGTGAAGGGTGGGGTATAAATCCAACCTCCTCCTATCTATCTATCTATCTATCTATCTATCTATCTATCTATCTATCTATCTATCTATCATCTATCTATCTATCTATCTATCTATCTATCTATCATCTATCTATCTATCTATCTATCTATCTATCTATCATCTATCTATCTACCTCTTTCCCGACGGCTTTGTTCTCACCAGATTAGTTTTATTAATCCTTTTATTACTTTTTAAAACCTCTTATTGCTCTCGTAAGCTGCCGCCAGACGATTTTGGAAAGCTGGGTGTGTGTGCGCGCGCAAAATTTCTTAAACTTATTTACGTACTTTATTTATGCCCTGCCCTCTTCCCCATGGGGGACCCAAACCGGATTACGTGGTTCTCCTCTCCTCCATTTTACCCTCACAACAACCCTGTGAGGTAGGTTTGGCTGAGAGCACACAACTGGTCAAAGGCCACCCAGCAGGCTTCGATGGCAGAGTAGGGATTTGAACCTGGGGCCCCAAGTGCCCAGCCCCACCCTCTAACCGACCTCCAAAGAAAACAGTCCTCTCCTCCCGCCTCTAAGCATGTGCAGAGTGCCTTCTCGCTGTCTCTCCTGCCAAGAACACAGTGCAGAGCACTTTCTCCCTGTCTCTCTCTCCCCTTCCCAGACTGCGCCACTAAGTCCCAGGGCTGAGCTTGGGCCTCCCCTCTCCTGTGCATGTGCAGAGTGCCTTCTCGCCAATAAGCCCGTGGAGAGTGCCTTCTGTCTCTCTCTCTCCCCTTCCCAGGCTGGCCCAGCAATCTGCCACGAAGTCCTGGGACTGAGCTTGGCCCCCCCTCTCCCCTGAGCCTCTAAGCATGTGCAGAGTGCCTTCTCGCCAATAAGCTCGTGGAGAGTGCTTTTTGTCTCTCTCTCGCCCCTTCCCAGTCTGGGCTAACTCGCTGCCATGAAGTCCTGGGACTGAGCTTGCCCCCCCTCTCCTGAGCCTCTAAGCATGTGCAGAGTGCCTTCTTGCCAATAAGGCCGTGGAGAGTGCTTTCTGTCTCTCTCTCCGCTTCCCAGGCTGGCCCAGCACACTGCCACGAAGTTCTGGGACTGAGCTTGGCCTCCCCTCTCCCCTGAGCCTCTAAGCATGTGCAGAGTGCTTTCTGTCTCTCTCTCTCCCGTTCCCAGGCTGGCCCAGTGCGCTGCCGCGAAGTCCTGGGACTGAGCTTGGCCCCCCCTCTCTCCTGAGCCTCTAAGCATGTGCAGAGCGCCTTCTCACCAATAAACCCGTGCAGAGTGTTCTCTCTCTCTCTCCCCCCCCCTTCCCAGGCTGCTCTAGCGCTGCCACGAAGTCCAGGGGCTCAGCCTGGGCCCGCTCTCTCCTGTGCCCCTTAAGCATGTGCAGAGTGCCTTCTCACCAATAAACCCGTGCAGAGTGCTTTCTGTCTGTCTGTCTCCCCTTCCCAGGTTGCTCTGGCGCTGCCACTAAATCCAGGGCCTGAGCCGGGGCCCGCTCTCTCCTGTGCCCCCTAAGCATGTGCAGAGTGCCTTCTGCCAATAAACCCGTGCAGACTGCTTTCTCCCCCCCCAGCCCCTGGCGCAATCCGGCTGCAAGCAACCCAGCTCCCCGCGCAGGCGATGGCGCAACGGCCGGGGGATTGCAGGCGAGGCGGGCGCGTGTCATCATGGACGGGGCGGAGAGGAAGGGAGGTCGCCCGCCTGGTGCAATCCCCGGCGGCGGCCGCATCAGCCGGGCGGAGGGCGGGAGGGGAGGCGAGCGCGGGGCGGCGCCAAGGCGAGCGGCCGGGGTTACATCATCCCCCGACGGCGAGGGCAGGAGGAGGCGCCGCGCCGCCCCAGCCAGACAAAGGCGCTCAGCTCTCCTCGCCATGGAGCGCCGCTGCGCCTGAGACGCAGGCTCTCCCCCACCCTCGCCCGCGGGTGGGACCCTCCTTGGCATCGGTGCCAAGACCCCAACCCGGGGTCTAGCCCACCCCCCACCCCACCCCACGCCGGCTGGACTTTTGCCTGCAGGCTGCCGCTCGCTCGCCCACCCCCCGCGAGAAGGAAAGCTCCGCGCACAGGAGGACGCCGGGTCCCCTGGAAGGCAGCCGTCGGGGGCTCCTGCGCCAAAGGTAGGGCGACTGGGATGGGGCGCAAGGTTCCCTCTAAGCGGTGGAGTCCCGCGAGCGAAAATTCTGCTCTGTGAGCTACTGGCCTGAAATTTGCGGGCGAGCGATTTGGCTCCTGCATCAATTAGCTGGCCCTGGAGTCATCCCTTCCTGAGCGGAGACAAAAATCTGTGCGCTGGAGGCTGAAAAACGGTGAGCTGGCTCACACTCGCTCAGCTTAGAGGGAACACTGGATGGGGGGTGCAACCGGAGTTCTGGGCATGCGAGCGGGGGAGTGGGGGGGTCTGTAAGCGCCGGTGTGCTGCAGGGGCCAGGGATCAGCCCCCGGAGGCCAGCACTGCGAAAAGAGATTGTTGGGGGGGCCGCATAGAAACGTACAGCCGGAAGGGACCTCGAGGGTCATCTAGTCTCACCCCCTGCGCAATGCAGGGACTTCGCAGCTGCCTCCATCCCATCCCCCAGTGACCCCCCCTGCTCTGCGCCTCCTACTCTGTTGTTTCTGACTGCAAATAATCTATTTTAGCCCCCCCCTTATGACCACCGGTAACACTTTCTGCCGTCTCTGAGCATGGGCAGAGTGGTTTTTCTTCCGGGACTAAGCAAAGCCAAAAGGAATCTGTCTGGAAACCTGCGGAGGGGGGGGGAGTTGTTAGGCGTTAGTTTTGGGTGGGTTTGAACCCCCCCTGGCCTCTTTCTCTGGGGAGATTAGATCGCACATTTGGGAGGGTTGAGTCCAGTGTTCCCTCTAAGCTGAGTTAGTGTGAGCGAGCTCAGAGGTTTTTTCAGCCTCCGGCTCACACATTTTCATCTCCGCTCAGGAAGGACGGCTCCAGGGCAAACTAATGTATGCCGTAGCCAAATCGCTCGCTGGCAACTCTAATGCCAGTAGAGAAGTAGAATTTGTGCTCAAAGGACTCCGCAGCTTGGAGGGAGCATTGGTTGAATCTTGCTCATTTCTCCTGCTTCCTGGTGCATCATTGCTAAAGATAGACAGATTGGGGAGGGGAGGGGGCTGGTCCAGAGAGAAAGAATTATCAATGCGAGAGAAAGAATGATCAATGGGGCTGATTCAGGCGGCCTCATGTCACCCTTCAATATCTCGTCAATGAATGACTGGCAGATGAGTGTGCCAACTTCCGTGGTTGGAAAAGGGTTGTGACTGAAGTGATAGGGGGGTGAGACAGAGAGGTTGTCCCGGTGAGGTGGCCGACCTGCGGCGCTGATTTCACATGTGCCGAGTCACCCTTCGAAGCTGAACTCATGGAAAGGAAATCATTCCTGAGGCACACGGTGGCTACAAAAATAAATTGTGTCTTGCCCCACCGTAAAGACTTTAAAAACAATACAAAACAGCATGCTCTATCGTGGGCTGCGGTCCCTAAAAATGCATGCTGGGATTGTTAATTGCATGAATTAAAACAAAAGTGTTAGTCTTTAAGGCTTCTGGAGTTCTGGCCCTGCTGGTGGACCTCCTGATGGTACCTGGGTTTTGGCCACCGTGTGACACAGGGCTTCTCTTATGTTCTTATATGGAGCAGAGGTCTGTGGATGGATATTAGCCACAAGGTATAGGGTTAGGGTTATAGAGAACACAATGTCTGAACAAGTGATGCTCTGTCTTCGTGGTGCTGGGGGGGGGCAACAGTGGGAGGGCTTCTGGAGTTCCAGCCCTGCTGGTGGACCTCCTAGTGGCACCTGGTTTTTGGCCACTGTGTGACACAGAGTGTTGGACTGGATGGGCCATTGGCCTGATCCAGCATGGCTTCTCTGATGTTCTTATGTCTGGGGCAGTGACGCTCTGTCTTCTTGGTGCTTGGAGGGCAACAGTGGGAGGGCTTCTGGAGTTCCAGCCCTGCTGGTGGACCTCCTGATGGTACCTGGGTTTTGGCCACCGTGTGACACAGGGCTTCTCTTATGTTCTTATATGGAGCAGAGGTCTGTGGATGGATATTAGCCACAAGGTATAGGGTTAGGGTTATAGAGAACACAATGTCTGAGCAAGTGATGCTCTGTCTTCGTGGTGCTGGGGGGGTCAACAGTGGGAGGGCTTCTGGAGTTCTGGCCCCACTGGTGGACCTCCTGATGGCGCCTGGGTTTTTGGTCACAGTGTGACACACAGTGTTGGACTGGATGGGCCATTGGCCTGATCCAGCATGGCTTCTCTTCTGTTCTTATGTCTGGGGCAAGGGATGCCCTGTATTCTTGGTGCTTGGGGAGCAACAGTGGGAGGGTTTCTGGAGTTCCAGCCCCACTGGTGGACCTCCTGATGGCCCCAGGGTTTTTGGTCACAGTGTGACACAGAGTGTTGGACTGGATGGGCCATTGGCCTGATCCAGCATGGCTTCTCTTCTGTTCTTATGTCTGGGGCAAGGGATGCCCTGTATTCTTGGTGCTTGGGGAGCAACAGTGGGAGGGTTTCTGGAGTTCCAGCCCCACTGGTGGACCTCCTGATGGCCCCAGGGTTTTTGGTCACAGTGTGACACAGAGTGCTGGATTGGATGGGCCACTGGCCTGATCCAACATGGCTTCTCTCATGTTCTTATGTCTGGGGGTAGTGATGCTCTGTATTCTTGGTGCTTGGGGGGCAACAGTGGGAGGGTTTCTGGAGTTCCAGCACCACTGGTGGACCTCTTGATGGCCCCAGGGGTTTTGCTCACAGTGTGACCAAGAGTGTTGGACTGGATGGGCCATTGGCCTGATCCAGCATGGCTTCTCTTCTGTTCTTATGTCTGGGGCAAGGGATGCCCTGTATTCTTGGTGCTTGGGGAGCAACAGTGGGAGGGTTTCTGGAGTTCCAGCCCCGCTGGTGGACCTCCTGATGGCCCCTGGGTTTTGGCCACTGCGTGACACAGAGTGTTGGACTGGATGGGCCATGGCCTGACCCAACATGGCTTCTCTGATGTTCTTAAGGTGCCACAAGACCTTGACCTAGATGGCCCAGGCTAGCCATCTTGTCAGATCACAGAAGCTAAGCAGGCTTGGTCCTGGTTAGTACTTGGATGGGAGACCATCAATGGAGCCCAGGGTTGCAACGCGGAGGGAGGCAAGGGCAAACCACCTGCTTGTCTGCCCTCAGCTGGATGGCTCAGACCAGCCGGATTTTTGTCAGAAGCTAAGCAGGGTTGGCCTTGGTTAGTAGTTGGATGGGAGGCCCCCAGGGAAAGTCCAAGGTCTCTATGCAGAGGCAGGCGATGGCAAATGACCTCTGAACCTCTCTTGCCTTGGAAACCCTTTGAGTGGTCATAAATCGACTGTGACTAGGCAGCATTCTCCCCCCACCCCCAGGGTACCTGTTGGGTGAGAGTGAGATAATGAAAAAAAATGGTATTTAGCAGAGATAAGAGAGTCCAGCAGAGCCTGAGTAAAATAATTCAGACTGAGAGTCCATGTGTGATTCAAGTATAAAGTTTTTACTAAATTCTAGCACGGGAAGGGTAACTGGGATGAAAATAACAACAGAGCTAAATCGGCTACCTCCTTATTCTACAAAGACAAAACTAGAAGAGAGAGATTATGTCTACTCTTCTTCGTCTTCTTCAGAACACCAAAGATGGGAAGGGAAGCCATAAAATGCTAATACACCTTGACACTTTAGTTCCAATCAAATCCCTACATCAGGGAGAAAATTCCCGGGCTTCCTACATGTAAAGAACATTGGTTGCATGAGAAACATGTGACTTCCTGTGAGTAACATAAACAAACAGTTAACCCCAGGTATACTGAGTGTTTTCAACTTGTAATACCCAACAGTACCACTAGACTCCTGTTTGTGTCTGGAATGGTAAACTGGGGATTGTGTGCAACTCTGGAATGGGGCACCTGTTACGAAGAAGAAGAAGAGATTGGATTTATACCCCGCCCTTCACTTGGAATCTCAGAGCGGCTTACAAACTCCTTTCCCTTCCCCTCCCCACAACAGACACCCTGTGAAGTAGGTGGGGCTGAGAGAGCTCTGAGAGAAACAGCTCTTTTTCAAGGACAGCTGTGCCAGTGCTTGTGACTGACCCAAGGTCACATCAGCAGGTGCAAGTGGAGGAGTGGGGAATCAAACCCGGTTCTCCCAGATTAGAGTCCGCACACTTAACCACTACACCAAACTGACACATCTGTGTCTTGGACGTGTAATGTAATGGACGGGGAGGGGGGTGTCTTTACTTGCAATTTCAGGCCGCAAAGGTTACTAACCCACAAACATTTTTTTGTCGTAGTCTCCCTGCCCACACATTAGCTGTGTTAGTCATTTCTGGCACCTTGTGGGCCTTTGTGGGAAAACAAAAAAAACAGACCAGGTCCAAATACCAAACGATACCTTGGTCCCCTAGAGGTGGTTTGGGACTCGCCATAGACGATCAGCCCAGCTGCTGTTTGGAAACCCCTTTTAAATAGCCTTTCCTTGGCAGGGAGCGAAGACGTGTGGGGCTGCCCTGGAAAGGTTGTAATGTTTAAATTGACCTCGAGGTGATGTTTTAAGGAGAGTGGCGGGTCTTGGGTTCGAATTGGGAGGGGGAGTCTTTGGGAGGAGTGTGGCACGAGAGGGAAAGGTTACTGAGGAACAACCACCCATCGTTTCAGTTCCATCGGCCCCTCTAGGGTCATCACATGTCATGCTGAGCAGTTCCAGATCATGGATCCAGGGGTCAGGTACCAGCAGGGAAGGCGTGCAGGCAAACAGATGTGTTTAAAGCCCAGCGGCTGTGTTGTTTGGAACTCGGCATCCGGAGCCTTAAGGAATTCCAGATTATTCCTCCCAGGCCCTGAGGCAGCCTACTCTTCTTTGGTTTTTGCCTCACAACAACTCGGCTGAGGCGAGGATGTGGTGAGAGGCTGTGATGGCTATGGTTGCCAGCCTCCAGGTGGGGCCTGGAGATCCCCCAGACGACAGAGATCGGTTTGCCTGGTGAACATGGCCGCTTTGGAGGGCGGACTGTGTAACATCGTACCCTAATAAGTCCCCTCCTTAAATCCCACCATCCCCGGTCTCTTACCCCCAAAATCTCTGGGTA